TCGTACCGCTTCCTTCTCTCTCGGGTAACTGCCGGCGTCTCCCATCGGACTTAGTGTTGGTGCAGTATGTCCACATCACAACCAGCCGCTGCGGTTTTACCAACGTTCACTGTCCTGACATTCAGCAAAGTCTCTCGACTGTAAGTTCTTGAACATCTGGGGTAGACAAGACACTAAACGTTGTCTCCTGAAGGGGGCGCTGCGCCACCATATCTTGAAGTATATATGAGTTAATCCAATGTATAGTAGTTGTATAAATCCAGTACTACATGCATACTATATAAAATGCAAAACATTTTTAAAAAATGAATCTTATAATGACACAAACGATTCTTAACACACCAGTAAAGCCTGACGGTGTGAATATGTGATACTGGACATCCAATGCCGGAGTGTGTTGGTTTTAGTTCCATTTTTATTCAGTGTAACTGGTGTAGAAGAATGTAACCTGTGTCTAATTTGTTTGATCAGCTGCTCAGTGCATCTCTGCTCACCGACCACAACACGCTGTGATTTCTAACGTCCTCTCCTGTGTCTGAATTGGGATCTCATTAAGCATTGACTTGCATAGATCACAGAACATGAAACGTCTTTAGGCCAATCCGATCCAGTTTGTCCTCCAGTCAGTGACCAAGCACACGTCAGTCACTTCATCTAGCAATGTATGTTTATATGAGGATGAACGATTGAACTGTAATTATCACGATACACAGTTTAGCATTGAAATCACATTTAAAACAGGAACAAACAACGAGGCTGGAAACGCAGTTTGCAAAGAGGCAGATATAATTTGATCCTTCATGTGGAAGAAAGGGGCTGACAAAAGGACTCCAAAACATTCTGTCATCGAACATGTAGATTTGTGCTTCTAGCCCAATCATTAAAAGCATTTAGAAAATAAAAGCATCAATAATGCATCCTCTCTGCACACAGACCCCAGTCTGACACGAGTCTGTAACACAGTCTGTAGTGTCATGGGAAATGTTTTGTCACATATCAAAAGCTGAGCTTACTAAGTTGTTAGGGTTAGGGCTAGGGGTTACAGGGTTAGGGTTAGGGNCAGTAGACTGAGCACACAGCCTGGAGGAGATCCAGAGCTCAGCGGGATGGAGTTGGAGTTGTCCTTTCTGACTCGGACAGACTGGGGTCTTTAGGTCAGAAAGTCCAGGACCCAGAGCCATTATCCAGACCCAGGAGGAGGAGCTTCTCCATTAGTCTTTGGGGGATGATGGTATTAAATGCTGAGCTGAAGTCAGTGTACAGGATTCTAGCGTAGGGGTCTTCATTGTCCAGGTGGGGGATGACTGAGGTGGTGGATCTTCATCCTCTGTGGGGCGGTTGGGACGGTAGGCGGACTGAAGGGGGTCCAGCGATGCAGGAAGGCCGGCTGGGACGTGGGTCTGACCAGCCGTTCAAAACACTTCACCACAGTCGGTGTCAGTGCGACGGGTGATAGTCATCCAGACAGCGGCCTGACTGAGGGAGATGCTGAAAACGTCGGTCAGCACATCTGCCAGCTGGTCAGACTCTGAGCACACGTCCCGGGATGTTGTCCGGTCCTGTTGCGTTTCGTGGGTTGACACTGGCGAGGGTTCTCCATGAGTCTGCTGTGCTGATGGTGAAAGCTTCCCTGGCAGATGGAGGAGGAGGACCAGCCCTCTCTCTGATTGTCGGGTTCGATGCTTCAAAGCTGCACAGAAGTTGTTGAGCCTGTCTGGAAGAGAAGCGTCATCGTTGTCGACCCCCTGCCTGGTCTTGTAGTCTGTCAGCGCCTGGACTTCCTGCCACATCCGTCTGGTGTTTCCTGTGTCACAGAGGTGTTCCTGGATGTTCTCTGCATAGGTGCGTTTCACAGCCTTGATCCCTTTTGAGAGCTCAGATGTGGCTGAGTGAAGAGCAGTCCTGTCTCCCACCCTGAAGGCTGCATCACGGCCGTCAGCAGCACCTCTGCAGTCTTCCAGGGTTTCTGGTTTCCATGTGCTGTGAAGGTCTTAATGACAGTAACGTCCTAGCTGGTTACCGCCTCAGCATTCTCCTCAACGTCAGTCTGACCACCCTGAGAGGCTGCTGCTCTGAAAACCTCCTAGTCGGTGTCCATAGAACCGTCCTGGAGTGCTGAAGATGCCGCCTCTGGCCAGAGCCTGCTTGTTTCCTCTCTGGCCTGCTGCGCTTCAGTCGGGTTTGTAAGCAGCACCAGCATGACAGGAAGATGATCAGGTGGGCCGGGGGGTTGCATCAGGGAGGTTTGAATACACCAAGTCCAGCATGCTCTCTCCTCTGGTTTAAAGTCCACAAACTGCTCGAACTTGGGGAGCACAGACTTTAAACTGGTGCGGTTGAAACCCTGTGCAATCACAGTAAAGCTGTCTAGGTGTTTGGTTAAAAGTTCACTGATGGCGTCATGTAGCCCTCCTAGCACCTCGTTAGCATTAGCGCTTGGAGCTATGTAAACAACAGCTAGAGTCACGTTAGTGAATTAGGGTTGGGGTTCGGCAGGTAGAATGGCCGACATTTCACAAAAAGAAACTCTGCCAACTGTTTAGAGGCTCACGTGGCATCTACACACCAGTCTCTGTTAATATAGATGCACAGCCCCCCGCCTCGCCTTGCCAGAGCTAGCTGTCTGTCTGTCTGTCTGCATCCCCTCCAGCTGTCTGTCCGTCTGGGATGCTGTCAGGGAGCCATGTTCCTGTTGAAGCAGACACACAGCAGTCCCTCCACTCTCTGAGGGTTTATCCCAGCAAACGTATCTCAATCCCACTGGTCTGGAGGGGTTAGCCTTTAGCCTAGCATGGATCCTGCTGGTCTGGAGGGG